TGAGTAAGGGGTGGGGCTAAACCTGAGTCCAGTTTGAACGCCAGCTTTTCCTTTGGAGCCCATCAGGAGGTCCGACTAAGAACGCTATGGGCAGGTTTTCCGTGGAAAGATTGCCTTAGATACTTGGTAAGAAAAACATACCTTGTTCCTAGCTAACACTGGGCAGTGATAAATGCGGGATAAAAAACGGGGGTGGGCGCAGAGCATGTGACTCTTGAGCATGTTGAGTTCCAGCCCCACATTTGGCATAGATGACTTAAAAATAAAATCTTGTTATTAAAGAAAAGGGTGGTGAGTGGGTACGAATTGAAGAGCATGCGGCCATTCTGAACTGCTTCACTCGGAACCAGCTGTCTGGGGTCTGAGAGCCTAGTGCAGGGAAGTATATACAAGGAAGCAGGGCAGCTCTAGCTTGGAGCCTGCCTTCCTGAGCTGAATCTGGCCGTTTCCTTTTTTCCAACCTCTAGAAGATCCGCTTCCAGTACCCACCCTCAACCCATGAACTCCTTCAGCTTCTGTGCTCTGCCCATGAGGCCCGCGGTCCAGCCCCCTCCCTGCTGCTACTGGATGGCCTTGAGGAGTACCTAGTGGAAGACCAGGGACCCCAGGACGCCGCCTACCTGGCTGCGCTGCTTCTGGACACAGCTGCCCACTTCAGCCACCAGACTGGGCCTGGCCAGGGCTGTGGGCTCATTGTGGCCCTACAGACCCAAGAGGAGGGAGTCAGTGGGGATGCCCTGCAGGTGTCACTGCTCCAGCGGTATTTCCCTGCCCAGTGCTGGCTGCAGGCAGAGACACCAGGCCCAGGACAGCACCGCCTCCGAGCCTGCCTGGATCCAGGTGGGCTGGGGCCTAGGAGAGAGTGGTGCGTGGCTTTCCGACCAAATGGAGAGATGACAATCACCCCGTGGCCTACCCAGGCTGGTAACCTCAGCTTAGACAAAGGTTCAAGCTCTGGAGGCCAGCCTTGATCTTTGGTGTGTGACAACCTCTCTATGCCTCAGTTTCCCATGCCTGGAATACTTACTTCAGGGACACATGCAGATTCAAAGACCTAAAGAATATAAAATGTTTTTTCTCATTTAAAAGTAGCATTATCAGGGAACCTGGGTGGCTCAGTTGGTTAAATGTTGGACTCTTGATTTTGGCTCAGGTCATGATCTCATGGTTCGTGGGATCGAGCCCCACGTCGAGCTCTGCACTGACATCATGGAGCCTACTTGGGATTCTCTCTCTCTCTCGGCCCTTCCCCCACTCCCTCTCTCTCAAAATAAATAAATAAACTTAAAAAAAATAAAAATAGCATTATCATGAACCTGTTATGCCCAATTAACATTGTTGAATTTTGCTGTTTTGAACTTTATAAAAAGTTTCATGATAAATGTAATCTTCTGAGACTTCCTTCTTCTCCCACTCAACATTATCATTTAAGATTAGGCCAGTTTTGGGGTGCCTGGGTGGCTCAGTTGGTTAAGTGGCCGACTTCGGCTCAGGCCATGATCTCGCGGTCCATGAGTTTGAGCCCTGCATCGGGCTCTGTGCTGACAGCTTGGAGCCTGCTTCAAATTCTGTGTCTCCCTCTCTCTCTGCCCCTTCCTTATTCGCACTTTGTCTTTCAAAAATGAATAAATGTTAAAAATTTTTAAAAAGATTAGGCCACTTTTTAGTTCACTGCTTTCTCCCTACTTCACATGGTTCCATGGGTGACCATATCCCAATTTATTCATCAAAGGACATATCTGCTGCTACGAACATTTTTTTTTTTTTTAA